GACCTGACCTCTGCAGGCCGCCTGGGTTTTTGCTTCTTCGTTTTAGTTCTCTGAGACCATGGTGGGGGGGCGGGGGAGCAGGAGGCAGAGGAAGGGCCGGCCCCATGGGAAATCCAGTCCGTGCATCAAAGGGTGCGGAGCAGAAGCAAGCTGCGGGGCCTCTGTGCCAGGAGCAGTGTCAGCAGTCACACCGGGGAACCGAGCGGTTCCGAGTGGCAAATGAAATCTGTTTTTCCGTCTTCCTCCTTTTCAGTGACAGCGCTCTTAAACAAATGACCATTAAAAAAGACGAAACAAAAATCTAACTCAGTGAAGTCTTCCTGTGAGAGCAGCCAGCTGCCGCAGAGTCTGCTAAACTTAAACTGGCGACAAACGGTGTTTCTATGGGACTGGAAGCAAAGTTGTGCAGGCTGCTGGCATGGCAGCCGCAGGGAGCAAGGGAGAAGGGAATCCAGCCACGTGGCCCCAGCCAGCATCCGTGCGTCCTGACCCAGCTGCCTCCCAGGTCAGGGCCACTCCAGGGAAAATGTTTCTGGGCTCCCCGGAGCCGTACCCCAGGGTGGACCCCGGCAGGCCCGAGGGGCCTGCGCAGCCGCAGCAGCGGGCTCGATGCCATCCGGCAGGACTGTGCGCGGGGACACGGGGGTGCACAACGGGGGTGCACAAAACCCAGGGTGCCTTTGCCACGTGTGGAGGGACGCCGCAGACAGGCATGGGGGAGGGGAGGGGCCCTGGCACAGCGCGGGACCAGGCGAGAGGAGGGAGTTTTCAATCCTCGGTAGTCAAGCAAGTGTAATAAAGAGCAGAACGATGTGAAAGAAACACGTGTAAGGCTACAAGGAGAGAGTAGGTGCTCTCGTTCCTAGAATTTGGGGGAGACAAAGAAATAGAACTTCAAGGTTATATCAAAGTAGAAATCAGAGATTATATTTTTTTACATGTGAGCCTTAAAAATAGAAAATCCACACATCTAACCATAGGAGTAGAATGCCTGAGGCATTTCATTTAGGGAACTAAGGTACGAAAGGGAGTGATTAAAAGAGACCTAAATTTCTCTCGGGACATACGGACAACCGTGATTTTCCAGGCAAACCCTCGTGTCCGCATGCTGCAGACACCGCAAGTCCCGCTAATGCCGCCGCTGGTTGTCCTTTCCTCTCTGGGTCGGCTGCCGGGGAGCTCAGAGCCACGTGCGTGTCCCACTGCATGTCTCGAATGTTCCTTTCTGGACCCACCGCATCCGCAAGGCAGAGCCCCTGGGAGAATTATCAGTAGGAGCCGGGAGGTACTTAATCCAAGGTCGCCATTATTATTTCATCAGTGCTGTCGACCAACATTTCAAGGAGAAATTTTTCTTGATAGACTTCTTATCTACAAAGGGCGACGTAGCTGTGTTCACGTCGCTGAAACTTGCGGGGAGGAGTCACTGTCGAAGTCTCGCGAGCCAGGCGTAATGAATGGAGGTCCGTTGTGCAGCAGATGGTTCCGAGACTCAGTCACGTGACGCAGTCCTGACAGTCTGCGCGCGCAGCGGGTCAGCGCTCACCTGTCCGAGCTAACCCCACTTTTCTCACGTCCTATAGAGCTTCCCTGCGATGGCTTTCCTTTCTAAAAAAAGTTTCTGCTTCAAGTGTTTTAAAAAAATTACCTGCTTTCTGAAATGATTGTGTGTATATTAACAAGTGTTTAAGTCATTGCCAATAGTTAGGCATTCTTTCTTTTTTAAGTTTACTTTTTATTTAAGTACGGTTGGTACACCATCTTGCACTGGTTATATTAGTTTCAGTGAAAATACAGTGATTCCACCTTTTTATACCTTACCGTGTAATCACTCCACGAATTCTAGGAATCATCTGTCGCCTCGGAAACGCATCTCAACATTATTGGCTGTGTTCCGGAAGCCAGGGGTGGGGGATGTGTGGAAAGGGGGAGAGGATTGCAGGATTGCAGGCAGTCTTTCCTTCTGTTGTCGTGGCTCCTCCCCCTTTCCTGCGCCATCCAGTGAAATGATGGGCAGCCCTAGCTCTGACTTACACAAACATACGTGTGTATGTGTCTGTGTATTTGTGTGATGTATGCAAAAGTAATAGAGTGTATAAGATAGTGTGCAGCTGCCGTACGCTTCACCCTCAGAAGATGCTGGAAGGTGCCAGTGTCTGCAGGGAAGCAGGCACTCGGAGTTGCCCCTGGGTGGGGGGAAGGGCGTGACGGAAGCAGTGCCGGGGCAGGGGCAGGTACGACCAGGCTGTCGCCGGGCTTCCCGAGGGACCAGGAGCACTGTGCCCTTGCCGTCCTTCCGCGGCCTTTGCTTGCTGCTCTAAGCTCTCAGGCCTAGTCCACCTCCTCCCCAGCCCCCCACCCCACTGTGGTCCAGTGGGCGTGGCCTGCTGGCCTGCACATCAGCGTGGCGCCAGGTCTTAGCACCGCAGTGGACCCGAAGCAGGAACCTTCTAGCCACGCTGGTGAGTTGGCTGATGACACCTAAGCAGAAGTTTGCTAGTGGGTTCTGGGCAGAAGGGGATTCACAGTGGAATTTAAAAAGTGTAAGCCTCGGGGCTTCTCATTTGCATGGGTTTCTTCCAGGTCCCTGCCCATAATTTTATCCTCATATTATCCTCTCTTTTCTTAAAGAGAGACCCCTTCCCCAAATTTTACTATTGCCAGGGTCCCACAAAACCTGTATCTGCCTCTAAGGCTGAGATATATTTTTTTCTCCCTGATAAAAGTAATAGATATATAAGAAAAAGCCACACCCCTTCTTTCTTGCTTTGGGATAATGGAAGGGATGTGACGCTTGGAGCTACAGCAGCCATATTGTGACCCTGAGGGGAAAACCTAAAGAATTACAGAAGAGCCGGCTCAGGGCATTGATGTCACTGAGCTGCTCATAAACCAAACCTGCAACAGCCTACCTCCAGATTTCTATTTATATGAGATAATAAATCTCTATTATTTAGACCACATTTATTCAAGTGGCCTATGACTTATAACCAAGAACATCTTGACTGATACCCCTGGGTCCCCCATCACTGTGTTAATCACTCATCAGAAAATCATGCTACAGCCAAGATGCCGTGTCTGCCTTCCAGACTGAACCTTCCCCAGCAGCTGCTGTGGCTGGGCGGCTTCACTGTGTCTGTCCTGTCCTCCTGGAGGGGTGCAGAGCCTCACCCCCGGCACCTCATTACTTGTCCATACTCTTAATGATGGACAAGTAATGGCACTTGTCACTCCCCCTCTGGCACTGCCACTGTCCCTACCTACGCCTGTTTTCCTGTGAATGACCCCAAATCACCTCTGCCTTCTTAGGACCTCCCTCCGCACAGGAAGCAGCCTCTTAGGGTGGCTGAGTTCAGCTCGGTATGAGAAAGGGAGCAGTAGATGCACCGTGGTGCTCAGAAATGAGCGCCAGCCAACTGTGAATGAACTTGTCTATTCGCTTTAAAAACGCAACAGAAGTTCCAGCAGAATGTTCTAAGGTGAACGAGTTTCAGGAATAAGGCCTTTTGCACGACTCGGAAAGCTGGCTTCACAGAAGGAAGTTGGACAGACCGCCCCCCTCGACGGCGTGCGTGCTCCGTGGGAAATCCGGAGAAAACCGCTCCAGGCGAGAGTGCCGGGAGCCAGGAGCACCCTCGCACCAGCGCCAGGTGAGTCTCAGGTAGTGTGGCAAAGCCCAGAGGGGCATTTTGGCTCATAGAGGAGAGAACGAGAGGGGCAGAGGTGAACCTCTTGGAGACTTTTGAAGTTACATGGCCTGCTCTGGCCACGTAGCTCAGTTGGTTGGAGCCACATTCTGTGACTCAGCAGGCCGCCGGTTTGATTCCCGGTCAGGGCACATGCCTGGGTTTCGGGGTTTGATTCATGGTTAGGGTATGTACAAGAGGCAGCCAGTCAGCATTTCTCTCTCACATCGATGTTTCTCTCTCTCTCCCTCCCTCTCTCTCTCAAATGAATCAATCAACACAATTTTAGAATCACTCGGCCTAGGAAGCCGAGTCTGCAAAGAGCGCCCCTCGGCCCAGGGACAGCACCGCCAGCAGTGCTGACCACATCTGCTCTGTTTCCTCGGTGGCCGGTGCTTCTCCGTCTGAGAGCCCACAGGAACAGCTCAGTCCTCCTGAGTGACTGACCTGTGTGTCCAGGGACCCCCATTGTCCCCCACCCGGGTCCCTAGATGTCCCCACATTTGCCCGCTCACCATCTCTGACCACCATCTCTGATCTCTCTCTGGCAGGCTCAGTACTAGTCTTAGGCGTCCTACTCCAGGGGTCTCGGCCGGCTGTGCCAACACCTGCCATTCCCCCCCCACCCCCCAAAGTCTGCTGTCTTTGCAGCCCACCTTCCCACTCATGTCTACAGGAACCTGGGCCCTCTTTGGCGCTCTGAACAGGGCGGGACCACAATTCCCTGAAGGGCTGGGCCTTTGTGCGCTGGCCCAATATCAGAAGCTGATCAAAGAGTCTGATGACCTTGGCATCCGGGCCAGCAAGGAGGAGGGCACTGATGTCATTCGGGCACAAGGCAACCACAGTTCGGACCCCAAATGCGAGACAATCTCCTTTGTAACATCAGGGTGGAGAATGGACAACCCAGATCTACAGAGTGCTGTGCGCCAAACACTTCTCTTAAAGGCAAAAGCAAAGCTGAGTGCCTCTCTGTTTTCCACTGCCCTAAAGCAGCTGCTTTGGTTCACAGCCATTGTGCCCCTTTAAACCGAATCGCTCACACTGTGAGCCCAGGTAACTGCCTTAGGATCCGCTCGTTAAAACAGGGCAGGTCTGGGACCCTGAAGGCTAAACCGAGACTCCGGGGCAAGCCCACAGCTTCTGTCTGAGCCCCCTGGCCACGCCTCTTGATTCTCTCAAGAGCAAAGTGATGCAATGAACAACACTTAAGTGCAAGCAGATCTCTGAAGTGTAAAAACTGCATACTCATGTACCTTTGCTTGTCCGACAGAAGTCGTCTACTGAATGCCTTGTCGTACATTTTACAATTACCTCGGTTATAAACCATCCTTCATCGGCCACTAAGGTCAAAGGAGAGACAAACTTCCCGTTCTTGTAGTGGAACCGGCTGGGTATGTCTTCCTTCTCGTACGTGGTCATGTGCTCCACCACTCTCAGTTTGGTGTACACCTGCAGAGGAAGTTGAGAGTGGCCAGTTTTTTATTCCCCTTCTAAACATATGTGAGTATTCATCAGACCTGGAGGAGAGGGAGGACCTTATAAAACCAAAGAAAGAAATTACCAAAACAATGGATAGATATGGCTAGGCACAAACGAGAAACTTTCGTGTGTTTCAGGAAAGAAGGTGGCTCTCCACAGCAGGACTGAAGCAGCTCTCACACCTGTGCACCTGGAGGCACGTAGAGGGACTACACTGCAAACGGGAACAGCCCCAAAGCCCGGCCACGGCGGAAGGGACAAATGAATCATGACGTGCCTCGGGAGTGGAATACTATACAGCAATGAAGAGGGATGGATTGCAGCTACACAGAACACCCGAGAGAATCCTGGGGATTTCAGTTGCAGACAAAAGAGAGTTGCAGAAGAATACAAGACAAGAATTTCCCTACCATATAAAGTTCTAATAACTACAAAACTAAAGACCCTGTTTGGTAAAACTATAAAGAGAATTAGGGAAATGATAACCCCAATATGTAGAACACGGGTTTTCCCTGAGGCGGCCGCAAGGGTGAGGGGTCTGAGGAAGGCACCCAGGAGTCAGCACGGGGATGGCGGTGTCCTGTTTCTTACCTGTTTACTGAATCTAAGGTGTCACCGTAACATTATCCTTTCCCCCTTACACATATTTTATAATAATGTTTTGCTGTCTACTAAATGATAAAGGAACACATTACAAAAACTTATGTCAAAACACTAAAATACAGCGAAAGGGAAAATGATGAAATCGGGCACCCCTGAGTTCTGGAAGGCAGCTAGACCACATGGGGCAAAGCAGCCACCCAAAGGTGCCCCCTGCTCCTCCTCACTTTCTCAGGGTGACTCGCTGAGTTCTGCCAGACGTACTTAGTGTTTGGGAAGAAGGGTAAGTAGAGGCCTAGTTCTCTCAGGGTGCCGAGTTCCCGGCAGGCAGTGACTGAGGGGAGCGAGCTTGGTCTCACACCCTCTGGGAACCTCCCCTTTTGATGGGGGCAATGGTAATAAGTGACACGTGTGTCGTCCTCGCAGTGAGCCCTGCATGCTTCTGTGTGGTGCTTCACTGCAGCCCGGGAAGGAAGCTACGTGGACGCGGACACGTGGACAGAGAAGCGGCAGAGGGGCTGGTCAGGGAGCCGCCCGGTCACGACAGAGCTGGGACCTGGGCCCCGGCAGCGTGGGTCCTGAGATAAGGCGCTGGCCCACGGCACGCATGGCCTCGGCCGGCTCATTCATCACCTTCTTATCTCTGGGCCCCTGAAGGACACAGTGCAGACAGGTGGCTGTCTTCCAGAGAAAGAGCATTCTGGGGGCGCATCTGATTTGGCCCGAGAGGTGCTGCATTGGGGCCAAGAATAAAATAGCCCCAGTCAGGGCTAAGCACTCAGCATGCTCAGCACTGTCCATCCTCCATCTCATCTAGTTGCCACTACCACTCAGGGCGGTGGGTGCCAGCACGCCCATCTCGGAGAAGAGAACAGAGAGATGGGGAGGGTGGAACCTTGACGGGGTCACCCAGCTGCTCCGTACGGCACAAAGACCAAGCCCAAAGGCTGCCCGCCCTCGCCCATCATGGGGCCTCTTGCCTCCGAGTGCCTCCCCGGCGCCGGCCAAAGGCTCACTACAGGCCCGCGGTCCTTCACTTGCTGCAGGGCGGCCAGGCTGATGTACCGGTCCAGCTCGATCACTTTGTCCATCCAGAAAATGTCCGTCATTCCGTGATCTGAGAAGATGATGACGTTGAGCTTGTCCAGCAGCCCCCGCTCCTGTGGGTGGACAGAGGCGGTCACGACAGCACCCGTGGAGAGAGAGGGAGAGAGAGACAGAAAGAGACAGAGAAACAGACAGACAAAGAGACAGAGAGGGACAGAGAGAGAGAAAGAGGGAGAGACAGAGACAGAGAGGTGCGCTCTGGGAAAGAAGTCTCGTAAAGAGATGTTTTAAAATATGCATTCTGGGAAAACAACACTTCCCAATTCTGAATTCCATCATCTCCTCTCCCCCCCATGACACAGCTCGAAATCTCGGCAGAAGCACTTTGCGGAGGGGCGCGGGGCGGCCCGGCCCCCGTCCCCAGGGCGCTGCAGACCCCACCCACGGGCCTTCCGCCTCGCCAGGTGCCCGTGTGCTGTCTCCTTTGGCTCTTCCACCAGATGCGTGTGGTGATGTGAGAGCTGTCACTCACCCACTTCACAGGTGAGAAAATAAAGCCCAGGACAGTCCTTCAGCCAGGATGTGGGATGTGGCAGAAGGAGAGAAGGGGCCCAGGCCCGGCTCCTCGCCCAGGCGGAGCCGGCTCCCAGACTCCCTGGCTTCGGCGCGGAGCCGGGCCACCTCGCCAGCCGAGCTGGCTCAGGATGCAGGTCTGAGCTGCTTCCCGCCTGCCGGCCTGCCTGTGAAATGGGGGGCCTCCTGGTACCCGAAAGGCGTGTGTGAAGGGCAGGAGAGAAGGTGCTGAGGGGGGTGGGGGACAGTCGAGGAGACAGAAGGAGAGTGACCAGAAGGCAGGGCAGCCGGGGGGGTTGTGCTTTTGGTCACCTGGATCCACTGGGTCATGTGCTTGAAGATGGTGTCCACGGCCTTCAGGGCGTCCTTCCTCTGCAGGGACGAGGGCCCGTAGTGGTGGCCCTCCACGTCGATGCGCTCGTGGTAGATGGCGGCCATGTCGGCCCGGCCACTCCTGGGGGGGCGGGGGAGAGGGGGCAGTCCAGCTGAGAGAGGCCCTGCTGACCTTTTCAGCTCTCACCCGGCAGGCAGCCGGTCCCCTGTGAGGGCCAAGCAAAGCTGACCCCTTAAAGTGAACCAGGTGATACGGGCCAGGTGGGGACTGGAAATGTCGGGGTACTCACTGTGCGAAGCACATACTCGTCTAACTACTATGCTGGGCACCTAAAACTAGCACAGAATAATATCCCATGGAAAACAGTAAATAAGAAGCTACATCTTAAACACACGCACATACGTGTGGTGGTGTGGTCTCCCCTGGGGTGGCCTTCCCACTCTCACTCAGAGCACAGGCAATGGAGGAACGTGCGTGCTCACAGCCTGCCGCGCCCTGGGCCCGGCAGTCCGCACGGGGACGGACGCAGCCGCACAGCCGCTCACACAGTGTGGTTCACACGGCCGGGCTCGCACGCCCTGCCCGCCCCCCAGGTCTCGGGGGAGCTGTTGCCTCCTCCAGGAAGCTGGCTCTGAAGCCCAGGCCCAGAGGGACGGCCCCGCCGGACGCTCCCGTAGCGCGTTAGGTTCATCTCCGGTTGTGAGTTTTCGTCCTGGCCGCAGTTGTCCACTTGTGCGTCCCTCTCACTCTCTAAATCGTCCGAGTCCTTTCCCCCAGGGGCGGTGCTTCATCCTCTCAGCTCGCACCTAGGATCTGGCACGCAGCAGGCGCGCGTAACTGCCCGTGGGATGGATAACCGCAGCAAGCACTCAGTGAGTGACAGTTCCTCTGGGCCAGCCCTGCGCTGAGGGCTTCCCCAGGCATCCTCAACGGCCAGCGCCGCAGAGAGGTGCAGCCGAGGCCAAGACCAGGTGGGGCGGACGCCAGCGCCCCGAAAGGTCTCAGCAGCCCACAGCGCATCCTGCTTACCCCGGCTGGTCTGGTGGAAGTGGTTCTCGTGCTCTTACAGGAGTCCCAGCCGCCCCAGGAAGGCCGGCGGGAGACGCAGCAAAGGCAGCACGGTGAAACGGAGTCCTTTTTACGTCTCCACGCACAGACTCGTGTCTGCGGGTCAGACAGGCCTCCAAAAGGCATCCCTGTCGAAAAGCGTGTGCGCACCGTGCAGATGAGGGAGCAGAGCAAAGCCACCCAAGGCCTCCCAGACCCCGGGGGCACGGCTACCTGGAGACGTGCACCTGTCACCCTCACGGTCAGAGCGCTTCACCAGCCTGGGCTCGAGAACGTCCCCATCCTCGTCATCCACTGCACTGTCCCCGGAGAACGTTCTGGTATTGTCACCACGCAGAAACATCATTCCTTTAACTCGACCCTTTCTCCTTTCCAGTCTGTCCACCCCCTTCCTTAATCATTGGCCTCTTAGGACCTCAGATTCTGGTCAGCATGAAACTGTCTTGAGGACAAAGCCTCAGGTCTGTTGACCGCAGAGGCAGAGTGTCGGTCAAGCCGGAGAGAACATCTTGGCATCAGGGGTGTTTCGGCCCCAGGCCCTGAGGGCAGAACAGGCCCTGCAGACCACGTCCCAGTGAACCAGACAGAGCAAGGCCGGGGCTGACCTCAGGACCTGGTACAACGATCGCCGACCGCCTGCCCTGGCCCCAACCAACCGACCAGCAGAGGCCGCCACCCCAGGTCCTTTAGCCGCCGTGAGTAATAATTTTTCTCCTACAGAAGCCATCCCCTGGAAGGCATCGGGGAGCCAGTCTTGGAACACGGGCTCACCTGTGACTCCGGGCTGGGTGCCATTTCCCCGACGAATAAGCCCTCTCTCCCTCGGCTGCGAACTCCTGTTTGCTTTTGACTGGGCTTTGATGCACACAAACAAACCGGCCCCTTGAGTTCTGTAACGGTGTCTTTCTTCACTGCGGTCGGTCGTCATGGCCAAGGGCACCCTGTAATGATGCTGTGCTGTCCCACCGCCTGCCCTGAGGTGTGCTTCATTCACCGTGTTGAGGGCCCATTGCTGTCACGCTAAGCAAAATTTCTAGCCAAACGTCCTTTTCTCTTTTTAGAATGAAATAAATTGGCCCCTCTACAAATGTCATGACCAGCACCTTGCACAGGGAGGAGGATGGGGTTAGGTTGTTAGCGAGGTGTTTATCACAGGTGATACTGTCATATTCACACTCGCTAATGTGTGAATGACTTACCCTCGCTCTCCCGGCCACCAGAGACCGCAGGGAACAACAGTCAGTTTGAGGTCATTTGAAAAGCCACTGCGAGCGTGTGGGTGGCGGGCGAACGTCCTTCCTGTGTAATGGCATTTTCACGCATTCCCCTACATTTTTTTTGAGGCCCAAGTTCATTACACCGATGGGCAATGGCACCTCCTCCACCTCTACGTCTGAACACATGGAACCTTCCAGAACAGTCATTCCCCCGGAGAAGCCTCACAGCGTGCAGACGCTTTGTGCACTCGCACGCACAGCACCCCGGGTGAGCGATTCGCAGAGGGGTGCCTACGTGTAGGTGGTGCGGGGCTTGTGTGTGGGGGACCTTTCTCACACCAGGTCCCTGCTGCAGTCAAGTTCAATGAAATGCTTCTGAGTCACTTCGTCTTAGACACCTCGCTCCACTGCAGCAGCCCCTGGGCTGGTTTCCTTCAGGCTACCTGCCATATTCACAGACCTCCGCGTGATCCGAGGGCCAGGAATTCCCACAGGTGGGCCTGCTGGCTCCGTGTCAGGACGCTGTCAGGTCCAGATGCTGGCAGCGCTGGATGTGGGGTGCCCAGGGGGAGGGGTTTCTACACGTGCCTCTCGCAAGAGGCCGCGAGGCTGGGTCTGTCGGATTCTCCGGGGACCTGCCGTCTTCAGGGGCCCGGAGCTCTCGCCTGTCTGGAGCGGAGCGGACAAGTGCCGGGTCGCCAGCTGCTCTCCACCTGGGCCTGGGCTCCATCACCGGCCAGCTCATCTGTCACGGCGCGGCCGGGTGAGGAGCGGTGGTGGGGATGCCTGCAGACCCGGGGCTGGCTGTGCATGGCTTTCAGGTCCAGGAACCGCGCCAGGAGGACATGTGCTCATCGGTTACCTGAGAGCTGCGAGGGGCCCCTAGTCCTGGGGTTTTTCGGGGACACGCGGGTCTCCCGTCACCTCAGGATTCTGTCCAGACTTCTTTCCAATGTAAAGAGTTCCTGTTGTCACTGTTCATCCACTTTCCCCACAGACGTAGGTTGGAAAGAGAAAGCGGTGGGGGGAGAGAAACGGAGGCAGTTGAAAGGAATGGTTGCAGTTGCTGACCATTCACAAAAAGAATCCAAAGCTTACAAATACGGCCAAAAATACAACTGCCTGCCGTTCCAGGGCGGTACAAGGGCAGCATCTAACAAGCCTGCTCACGGGCCAGCAGGCGTAACGACCGGTTCGAGCCCCGTACCGTTAGCTGCCGCCCTGTCGAAGGCCGGCAGGATGAAGTGACTTTCGTCCGATAGAGACAGCCGTCCCCAGAATCATGGTTGGGTTGTCCTTGAAGTTACTCAGCATTTCTGCATCTAATAATAATTACACCTAATAATGATAACAATGGTAGAGTGATTCTCTATCATCCTTTCCCTTCGTTGGTGTCTCTTCCAGCCTCCCTTTAACCGGCCCGGTCATCTCCTGAACATCCCGTCAGAAGCATCCGTGCTCTTCCCCGGCTCCGTTCCTCTGCACCGACGTGGCCCATGTGCACAGGCAGCACCTGACACGTGTGTGACTTGGGTCGGTGAAGCCCGATGGGCACTGGGGGCCAGGCCCCGGTCAGACGTGGCCTGGCCGCCGGTCAGTCCTTCCTGCACAGACATGGGCAGTGTCCGGGCTGACATGCACCCCGTCAATGCTGTCCTTGGCGGGACTCCACGGTCAAGACCTTCACCGCCTCCCCTGCCTGCCTTCTGTTAAAGCCCACCGGTCCTGCGTCCCTCCCTCTGCCCCTCCAGCTAATGGCAGAGTTGACAAAGACACTGTAAATAAGCGGCGCTGACGCGGAGAAGTGTGTGTATGTTGTGTTTGTGTTTGCACACTCGTGTGTGAGAGCCCTAAGCGCTCTTCTTAGTACAGCTAGGAATCGGAGGCCGAGCTGGAAGAGGTGCCTGAGGCATTCTAAACACACCCCTTCGTTTCAGGCTGTCCGCCCGCGCCGGCGGGCTGCACGCTGGGAGACCCCGCGCTGTCATGGCCAGACGGACGCGAGAAAGACCGCACTGCCAAACAGGGTGTTGCATCCTTCGGCGGTGTTTGTGGGACAACTGTGTCCCAAATTTTCCTGTCTGGCGGGGCAACAGACAGCAGGGATGGCCAGCCTTTGTCTGCGTTGGAGACAGCCTCACGTAGACCCAGCCCCATCGCCCCGAGGTTCAGCTCTGCTCATCGGCTGCGCCTGCAGCGCCTCGTCTACACAGACTTTGTCGGCATCGCGGTTGGGCACCGCGGTTCGGCACTCCCAGCGAGGAGGAGAAAGCAGAGTGGGGAGGAGGCAGGGGCGCGCAGCCTGAGTTACAGACCCCGTGGTGGGACACGTTTACTCAACGACTGCTCCCCCAGACCCTGTTCCTTCCCTCTGCCCACCTCCCCCTAGTCTCCTACAATTTTAATTTGTTCCTTCTCCGGTTTTAAGTATTTTAAACTCATTTTCTCACCAACCTGTCTCTCAGAGCCGGAACCTGCATGTGCCCCAGAAGAGACCCCACCCCGGAGACCCACTGAGTGGCCCAGGCGACCCCACGCCCGGCCCTGGAAACGTAAGAGCCCAGCACCCTCAGCCTCCGGGCTGCCGATTTTCCGTGGAGAGCCCCACCTGGCGACCCACTGACGGCCACTTCCAGCGACCTCTGGGACTGACGTGCGGCTTTGCCCTGACCCGTCTCGTTGGTCGCGTGCCCTGACAACTCTCCTGTGCCGTTCAGGACGCCATTACTAACTTCTGCATCTTTTCAAACCGGGTGTTACTTTCTAATACGCTAAGTGCTTTGTGCCTTTCCAAGAAGAGGGTTAGAGGAAGCCGTTGTCTAAACCTATTTCACCGCAGATCCTCCCTTTTTGCCAAATACCTATCAGTGTCTCCTGAGATGCCAGCACTCCCCAAACCGCCACCTCTCTGAGGCGCTGTTCCACCTGCGCCTTCTGCATTCACGTTAGCGCTCACGGTCGGTCCTGGGAACGAGCAAGGGCAGTGGCGCGGCTGGGCGTCCGGGACACTTACTTGAAGGCGTCGAGTGCGTCGCTAACTGCGTTGGCGAAATTGATGTCCGTCGGGACATTCTTGTATTCCAGGCAGTAAGTGGGTCTGACGCCGAGGATCTCCACCTCACAGCCTGAGAAGGAAGGAGACGGTCCACAGTTACTTTCCTCAGGAATCGAGGCAGGGCTGTGAGCCTCTTTCTCGAGGTCAGCACCACCAGTCAAAGTGAAATTGTGCCCATTTTCATGAAATGGTGGGGCTCCGTGCTGAAGAGTGGTAGAGCTACCCGTCATTTTGTTTAACTGGGGCACAGGTTCTGGAAGGTCATTGCTACCTACGCAACCCCGGGGTGTCCCCTGCCAGGGATTAGCAAAAACGAGTCAGTAATTGTCTTTCCCAGTTCCCAAACTTAAAACAAAAAATTAGTTAGGACACAGAAATGTCTCAGTTAAAACACTTTTTCTATACATTTTTTCATAACTACCACTTCTCCTACGGTACCTTTGCCTACTCTAGAATTAAGTATTAGGTGGTATCCGATGAGTCCAGGAATAATAAAATATTTCCCTAGTCTAACTGGACCTACAGGGACGGCCCTACATGAGCAAGCCTAGAGGTCACAGAGTGCAAGCAAGGACTCTGAGCCGTGGCCTTGGCCCTCCCAAAATGGAGTAAAAGAATAAAAGGCATCCAGCTGTTTGGCGTCGCTATGGCCCCAGCTTCTCTGGCCCAGGCCCCTGGAAAGTAGAAGCAGTTGCCCTGAGGAAGAGACACCCAACCTTCTCAGGATATAAGGCAGGGGAAGGATGAGCCAGATTCAGTTTGAATTAGTTGGGTGCATTTATTGGGCACCTACTGCGAACTAGTGACTACGTTCAGACACGGTGGAAACAGAAATGGATCAATCAGAGTCTCCAACCTGCAGCATCCCAGAGGAGTCCTGTCTAAGTGAAGCACACACCTACTGGGGGGTGTGGAGACTCAGATGAGGTGTGCTTCCTCCTGGAAGCCTTCCTTGCATGCCCGCGTTGGGCTCAGTCTTACAGGCGGCAGCTAGCCAATGCGTCAGGCGGGGGGAGAAGGTGGCCGTGGAGGCGGGAAAGAAAAGGACACCCCAAGCAAAGAGAGCAGCAGAAGCAAAAGTTCAAAGTTAGAAACAATAAGGTGTGTGTGGAGGGCTGTCAGCAGAGCACAGTCCCAGACGAGGGCTATCAGGAGACCAGATGGTGAGCTTTCCGTGGCCCAGGGAAAATGATTTCCAGGGTGGAAGTGAGTGAACGTGGGACAAGCTGGGAATGTGGGGAGAAGGGAACGTCTCTGTCAAGAAACGCATTAAGCCAACTCCTGGGTGCATCTGGTCACAGCTGGCAACATCTGGGCTACAGTTGGCCGCAGCTGATTTATGAGAAGGCAGGGCAGCCTCCGAGAAGAATGCCTCCATCCAGCATACCACAGCAAACTCCGAGTGCTCCAGGGACACCCCAACGCTCTCGGCCTGATTTCTTGGGCTCAGGGAGCGCAACGCTGTCTAAGACAATAAAGACAGACCTAGAAAGCAGGAAGCTGTCCTTCCAAGACTTGTGTGTTGAGTAGGATGAACAGTTTAGAGGCCCCCAGAGTAAACCCTGCCCATGAGTTCCTGGAAGATATTCATCCCTGGGAGAAATGCCGGTGGGGGACCTTGACCAGTTATAGCACTTGAGATATCTGTGTTTTATCGGTTGAACGTTATTTGTGGATGTTCATTGCGCTCTCAGAGATACTTACTCAGCCGTGTGCGAGTGGGCCCATGCTTTGTGTCCACTCCACGCTCAGTGTCAGCAACCCTAATGCAAACAAGACCCCACCTGTCCCTCAAAAGATGAACTGCGTGCACAGTACGGCCAGGTACCGCACCTGACACAGAGTCATGCGAGTTTGCAAGTAGTGGAGTTTTGACCATCGTTTTTCAGATAAAAGAAGCTACACACTTTTTTGTGTTTGTATATTACCAGACCACAAGGGGGAAAATATCGTTGGCTACACTCTCTACTGGAGCTTTTCACACAACGCTCAGCATATAATAAAAAACCATGAGCCAGGCTAACACACGCTGAAATGTACCTCATACTTAAGAGAAAAGTAGTCAACGGAACCACATCCACAGATGACACCAATGTTGGCCAGAAAGGGTAAACATAAAAGAAATTTCTTTAAAATATTGTTGGCTTTTTAAAACAAAAATAATAGCAGTATATTATGGGGTCAACAACATATGTAAACATAAGTAAAATAGATGACAATAAGAGTATAAAGAATATACTCAAACAAATGGCATTCTCAAATTCAAAAATTCTAACATTATTTGTGAGGTAATACAGTATTTCAAGTTGACTTGAGTAAGTTAAGGAAGCATGTTGGTGTGTCTAGAGCAACCATCAGAAAAAAATAAAATCTGAAATCAATTGAAAATATATAATAAGTTTCCAAAAGTGCTTAATTCATATAAGAAAAGACAAAAATTGAGTTACAAAGAAATAAAAAAAGTTAAATTAAAAAATACACAAATGGTAGGCTTGATTCTAACCATATCAGTAATTATATCACATGTAAATGGATTAAACACTTTATGTAAAAGTGAGAGATGGTCAGACTGGATAAAAATGTAAAGCTCAAATATATGCTACCCTTTAGAGAAAACTTTTTAAAAATATAAATACAGTGACTGGTTAAAAAGAAGAGGATGGAGCCATGTTTTACCCTGGACCAATAAACACACACCAGCAGCTATGGCTGTATGGCCAGATAGATTTCTACGAAACACAAAGTGATGGTGAAGATGGGCACTGGCACTCCTGAGGTTTTCGGGTGATGGTGAAACCTGCAGAGCGGGCCACCCCACTAAAGCCCACAGGCAGCTGTAACACAGGGGTGGGTGTCTAAACACAGGAGAGGCCCAGAGAAAACAGGGTCCACAAGATAAAGAAGGGTGCACCCGTACAGGGCACGTGCGTGAGCGGAGCCCACGGGGCTGGCCGCTGCTCTGGCTGACGCAGGGAGTGAGGGCGAGGACCGGGGTGTTTCTGCACAGAACTGTCGACTTGGTGAACACCGCCCACTTACGCTACACCCAGTCCATAACATCTTTTCTTTGTTCATAATTCACCTGAGTTCACTATAACATTTTTACTACATAAACTTTTAATTGTTTAAGCTTTTTTGACTCATTAGTAATAGCACTTAAAATGCAAACACATTGTACAGCTGCACAAAAATCTTTTCTTTATATCTTTATTTTATAAGCTTTTTTCAGTTTACATTTTTTATTTTTTACTGATACTTTTTAAACATTTTTGTTAAACATAAGATGAAATCACAAATATGTCCTTTACACCTGCTGGCAACAAATTCAGGTTTCTTTGTTTCTAGAAATGGCCATTATTTTGCTTTTAGTTTTGAAAACTATTTTCACTGGATGTAGAATTCTGTGCTGATCTTTAGTTCATCATACCACTGTGAGGATGTCCTTCCATTGTCTTTTTAGATTCCAATATTTCTTTTGTAAAGTCTGCTTATTAAAGTCAGTCTTATTACTGCCCCTTTGAACAAATTTCTCTGGCTGCTTTTAAGATTTCCTCATTAGCTGTGGTTTCCAGCAGTTCTTAAATTTGTGATGCTCTCACCCAGGTTTCACAGCGCTTCTTGAATCTGTGATTTCATATCGCTTGTCTGTTTCGGAGAGCCCTCAGTCATTATCTCCCAAATATTACCTGCGTCTCATTCTCTCCGTGGGTATGTCTTCTGTGGCCTTTTCACTAGGTCCCACATGCCTCTTACATTCTTTTCTACCTTTTCCATCTTGTTTGCCTCTTCACGTTTAAACTGGATAGCTGTTTTTCAGTTCTAGAATTCACTTTCTAAAAAAACAATTCCGGCCTTGGCTGGTGTGGCTCAGGAGATTGAGTGCCAGCCTATGGCAGGCAGTTCAATTCCCAGTCAGGGCACATGCCCGGGTTGCACGCCAGGTCCCCAGTAGGGGGCGCATGAGAGGCAACCACACATTAATGTTTCTCTCCTCTCTTTCTCCCTCCCTTCCCCTTTCTCTAAAAATAAATAAATAATATTTATTTTATCCACAAATAATATTTATAAACAAATAAATAAAACCTTTTTAAAATTTTTCAGTTGACTGCTGGTATGTCTCCACACTGTCATTCAGTCCTTAACCACAGCACTCTTAGGGTCCGTGTCTGACGTCTGGACGGTCTCTGGGTCTGCATCTGTCGTCTGCTTTTTTGCCTCTTGATCTTTCAGTCGGCTCTCGTTTTCCTAGATTCTGGTTATTTTTTGCAATTGAATGCTGCATACCCTATATGTAAACTTGTAGGTATCATTGGACACTTTTTATCTTATCTTCTTTTGGAGAATATAGGCTCCTGTTCGTGATGGGGCCCTGGGCTCTGGGCAGACCATCACGATCCAGAGTGGGTTTAGTCAGAGACCGAGACGACTGGATGCCCAGCTTCGTCTTCATGAAGGTGCAGCCCTCAAGAAGTCTTCACCTCTTTTCTATTTTGATCCTTTTCCCTAGAATGTTTATTGCCTTTTACTGTCCACCCAGCAGCCTGGGGCGTTTACTAGGTCTCTTCTCCTGGGTGGTCTGTGCACTCAGATTGTTGTCCTTCACCCCTCTCCTCTCCTCCTTTCAAAAGCTCCTCGCCTGCTGCTCTTGAGACCAGCGCTGGCCTGGAAGGCGGACACGGTGCCGACAGCCAGACACGCTCTTTCTCCAGGTCCTGGTGCATCTCTGATCCACCACACACATGCGCATGGCCCAGCAGACTTTCTACTTGTTGTTGGAGAAGAGAGCGGTCTCCAAACAACCAGTCCTGGCATTGCCCCAGGGGGAACCCCAAACGCCAATAAATAATTCTCAAACCTAAAAAGTGACACTTTATTAGAAATGAATCTCATAATGAAAGACATAGGTGTGCTTTCAAAAATTAATTCATATATCCACGCATGACTATGACTGATCTCTAGTACAAGACACATTCAGAATCCATTCTATTTTCACTTGTTAAATGGAAGTATTAAGGAAGTTGTTCCCATAAATAAGTAGATGGAAACAGAAGTAGCTTGTTGTACCAATGG